TTGAATTTTTTCAAATTGAATATTCACAATCCAATTCGACTATTTAAATCTTTCAAACTTAGTAATTTATTTATTTAATTATTTATTTTTTTTGAAAACCTTAATCTGAAATTGTATCAAATTGAAATCTTTGAAATAAAGATAATTCGTATTTGTTTATCATTGATTTATTATATAAATTATATAATTCACTTTTTATTTTTAACAAAAAAATAATCTCTGCGAAAAGATTTTAGTACTTTATTAATTGATATCCAGATTAAATCGGCATGATCTACATAAATAATATCCGAATTCAGATTTTTAAAAAAAAATGCTATCTGTGATCGACAGCTCAGAAAGTATAAAATGACTTGACCAATTAACTTAAATCTTTAATGGGTGCTCCAACAAAAGAGACGGCAGCAGAAAATGCTGCAACAGACAATTCGGAAACAAATAAAGGCACCGATATGGTAACTTTAAAAACAATAAAAAGCAACAAAACACTAAAACGAACCACAGTTCATCGTATAGCTCTCGGAGACATCACGCCTAATAACTTGGGTCAGTTAAAGAAATTAAACACGGTTCTCTTCCCTGTTCAATACAGCGAAAAATTTTATAAAGATGTTTTGGAAGTTGGTGAATTCGCTAGATTTGGTAATTAATCACAATCGAATAGAAAATTTATTATTATTTTTTTTTTTTTTTTTAAAGATGGTTAATTCAAATTCGCGTTCAATATTTAGCATATTTCAATGATTGTTGTGTCGGAGCGGTTTGTTGTCGTAAAGAACCATTAAAGGAGGTAAATCAAGGGATACCTTCCGATCAAGCAAAACTTTATATCATGACGTTGGGAGTTTTAGCACCTTATCGTAACCTTGGAATAGGCACAAAATTATTAGAACATATCTTGCAACATGCCACATTACCTACACAACAACCAAAATTTGTTGAAATTTATCTTCATGTGCAAACATCAAATGAGGAAGCTTTAAATTTTTATAAGAAATATGATTTTGAAATTGTTGCGACAGTGGAAGGATATTACAAGAAAATATCACCTTCTGACGCGTATGTTTTGAGCAGAAAACTATAGTTGTAAATTCACACGTTTTTAATTAAAATTTCTAAAGTGTTTTTTCGAAACTATATTACAAAGAAATTTATCTTCCTATCTTCAACTTAAAAATAAAAATACAAATTATAAAAAATAAAATAAAATAAAATAAAATTATAACAAAATTATTATTGTTTATCACCTATTTTGAGAAATTTGAATTTAGCGAATTTTTTCTTCTTCTCGATCTCACCGGTAAATTCAGTTGTGTCATCACCACTTGATTCCTTATCATAATCGTTATTGCGCATATCTCTCATGATTTGATCATAAACACCTTTTAGCACGGCCATTTTCAATATGACATCATCCCTTGGAGGACTTGGAGTAGGAGATGGTGTGTGAATGGTGACATCTAGTTGAGAATTATTCGATTCATTCGAAGGACTTTGTAAAAATTCCGAAGATCCATCGTTATCGATATCCCGTATTCTTTTAAGTATGGAATCATGCATCCTCCATAAAAGATTCCTTTCAACGTGTTGTGGAATCTTATGTCGATAAGAACTAATCTTTAGATTTTGATTCCTATCGTTATCATCTTGTGTTACGCTAAATCCGTTTGACGGCCATTGTCCAACATAAAATACATTTAAACCAGTTAATTTTCCTAACGTGATCGGTAAATGTTCTATGGAATTCCCCCTCAGCTTTAATTCGCGTAAACAAACACAATCACCAATTGATAATGGCAAATCCACCAAGATATTCTCTGAAAAATCCATGATCTCAAGTTTTTTGAGACGTCCAATAGTTTTTGGAAGATGAGTTAATTTATTATTAACGACGTATAATTCACGCAACATATCCAATTGGTCAATCTGTTCAGTTAAATCGGTGATACGATTATTTGAGATATTAAAGCTTATCACATGATCCATTCCTTGAAGGTTGGGCATGGTGTCAAAGTGATTATATGATAAATTAACATAAGTGAGATGATTATAAGCGACTCCCATTTCAAATGGAATTTGACTTAAACTACAATGTTGCAAATGAACTTTTCTTACAAGAGCGAGTTTTTGAAATGAATTAGGAATTGCCAATAATGAAGGATTATTATTGAGTTTAATTTCTGTAAGTTTTGTTAACTTTCCTAAATCTTCAGGTAAAAAAACCAATTCATTATGTGATAGATCCAACTCGGTTAAAGATGTTAACTTTCCAATGTCTGCTGGTAAATTAATTATTCGATTTTCACGTAAATTTAATGTTAATAATCTCGAAAGTTGTCCAAATTTTGCTGGTATCGATTCAAGGGAATTGTTATGAGCGTTCAAATGTGTTAACCTATGACATTTTACCAATTCATTGGGTAGTGATGTAAGTTTGTTATTGGAGATGTCCAATTTTGCCAAATTCTCTAATTCTTTTATATTTTCGGGTAATGAACTTAACAAATTCGATCTCAATTCTAAAACTTGTAATTGATGTAATGAACAAATGGCATCCGGTAAACTTTCTACATTATTATTGTTCAATCTTAATACGCATAATGATTTTAACCTTCCAATCGAATCTGGTAGGCTCGTAAGTTGATTACTGTCTAAATATAAAAGTCTTAATTTAGCCAATTTTGAAATGTCTGATGTTATACTACCCAACAAATTGTTATTCGCTCTTAATTCCCTTAGGGTCTTCAATTTGGTTATACTCGTCACATCCGATAATACATTATTGTCCAAATTAAGTCTCCTTAAATTTTTCATCCTTCTAAATTTTAACCTTGGATGAAACTCTGATATACAATTGTTACTTAAATCCAATATCTCTAATTTGGTTAATTTCAAAAGTTCTTCGGGTAAATCTCGAAGTGAATTACGATCAAGGTATAATTCCTTTAAATTATGAAGTCCTTCAAAGAAATGATTGGGAATATATGATAACCGATTATTACTTAATCTGGCCGGACCTTTTCTTTCATGTGTCGTCGTTGGCGTACTATTCAGGAGGACATCCCAAGCCGATTCCATGGGCCAGTCCACTTTAGATACATCAGATTGTGATGGTTGTGAATCGGAAAATGTTGTGCTGAATGCCGAAGGATCTTCCGAATTAAAAGACTTGGAAAATGATGACATACGGGACATTGGTTTCTTGTGAGATGAGGCGTCATATTCCGATCCTGTGTAAAGACTGGACTCTGGTGCTTGTGATTGAGTAGCCGAAACATCTCCTTCTACCCCATCGTCTAATGTCATATCATCTAAATCTTTCTCATTATCACTGTCACTCTCCTCTGATTCTACTTGATCAGCATAAAAATTGTTATGGTTCTCTTGAAGGGTGGTACCATTTGTGATTGACTCATATTCCTTATTATCGTTTGTGCCAAGTACGGAAGAAACGATTGGATATACGTCCGAAGTTTCATTATGTTTTTTGTTATTTTCGGTTTCAGAATTGGATTGAGTGGGTCGAAGACTTTGATAAAATTTTTTCTTAAATAAACGTAAAGGTGATTTGTCAACCTTAATCTTATCATCTAATCCTGATGTCATTTCATCCTTTGATGTTATTATATTCTTATTTTCCATTTCGGATTGTTTTTGTGAATTTTTAGAATTATTATTATCGTTATCATATGGCTTATATGAATTCGAACTTAGAGGTGAAGAATTCTTAAGTGGGGAAGATTGTGAAATCATATTAGTTGAACTATTAGTATTAATACTATTAACAACACCATTAACATTGTTATTATGATTATTATTATTATTATTATTTACAAATTGGGATTCCTTCATATTATTAGAATTTATTCTGGTGTGACGTGGAGGAATACCATTCGCCATTTGATTGATATTTACAAGGCTCGTTCGAGTTGCGATCGAACTTCGTCGAGAATTATCCTTTTTCGCTGTAAATATATCAAAGATTCTGCTGTGACGAATGGTACCAGAAACCCCTTTAATCGTGTCATCATCCGCACGTTCCGAAGAATTGGATGATTTAGCAACTGAATGTCTTAAAGGAGAAACCACATCGATATCCATATTATTAATCAAGTCCATATTCTCAAGATGATCATTATTATCATTACGTGAATCCACGGTTTCGGCCGCAGTTGACTGCGTTGATTGCGAAATCGTAGATTCATCTTGGCATAAGGTGTTAGAAGAAGCCGTAAGTTCTTGTCCTTGCACGACAAATTCTTTTTGTTTTAATTTATTATCAACCTTCTTAACTTGATCATTATTTGTATCAATGTCATTATTATTAATTTCTGTAGGATTCGTAAGATTTATTGGTTCGGTGGATTTATTCTTTGTTGTTTCGGGAGATTTACGCTGTTCGAATGTAAATGAAAATTTTCGTTTCGTAAGCCTTTCAATGAGTGAACCAAAATTAGATTTACGACGTGACGGTTTTGAAGATGGAACAGTCGAAAAATTATTGGTTGAGGTTGTTTCCTCAACAACCGTTGAACTGCTATTTTCCTTCCTTTCCGTTTTTCTTCTATAACTAAATCTACGAAATAAATTCGTAAAACTATTTGATTTTTTTACTTTTGGTGTCTCACCATCATTATTATTAGTTGGTACTTGATTAATATGTAATGATGATGATGATGATGATGATGATGGTGAATTGATCGTTGGAATTGGAGCTTGATTTCTTGATGTTGTTGGATCTGTAATATCATTTGTGTGATCAGCTCCAGCGCCAGCGCTAGTTGACGTATTTTGGATAATTATCGGAGCGGATGATGATGATGGGAAATTGGTCGTTGATACTGATTCCTCCGTGGATTGTATTGATGTATCATTATTTTGATTTTTAGGTTTTGACCTTCCCCAACTTAACCACCAGGAGAATTTTGTGAACATCGAATTCGAGCGAAGGGGTTCCTTACGAGGTTCATGGTCAGAAGATTGGTTATTTAAAGTAACATTTTGATCAACGAATATAGAATCTACATTTGCATGCGTTGAAGAAACTTTGTTTTGTCGTTTTGCACCCGGAAAAGTGTTTGAGGACATATTTAAAGATTCAGAAATTGTTTCCTCAAGTCCTGAAATTTTAGATGTAGAAGGACCTATTGATTCAGAAGTTTGAAATTTTATCCTTGGAAGATCTTTTGGAGGGGTCATTGGACGAAAGTCGTCCTTTGGAGGTACAGGAGGCGGAACTTCACCGCTCAAGTTATATTCGATATCGGTCATATAATTAAATAAAAATAAAAGAGAGTGTTCGCTTTATCAAAAAGCTTTTTTTTTTTTTTTTTTTTTTTTTTTTTTGATTTAAAACCTGAAATTTATCAAGTACTACTAGAATCGAAGTTGGTTGTTTGTTTTTATAAATAAATAAAATTTTAAGTAGTTGTTAGAATTGTAGTTTGTAATTGTTATAAAAAGTGCATTTAAACCGTAAATATAATATAATAATTTTATTATAAACAGCGAGCATGGCTTCTTTTTTTTTTTATATATATATCTGTTGTGCTCTGATATACTAAATAATGAGGAAAAAAATAAAAGAGAAAAGGAATAAAAAAAGAAATAAGATAACGTCTTGGGTATCCAAGAGTTGTTACGGCAGTGAAGCCGTCAAATGTTACAAGTACAAGGAATAACAGAATTAAGTAGACAAGAGCTATGTACAGAAAAGAAGGAAATTTTTTTTTTTTTTATAAAAATTTTAAATTTTAATAAAGAAGTTCCTTTGCATTTATTCACAAAATGGTATCGGAGTAAATTTATTGGACTGCCGCAAAATCTTTACCATATAAAGAAAATACTCAAATTTCAATTAAACACATGATTGGACCTTTTAATTTTATTATACGTGACCGTATTTGGTTAAAATGGTTTACACGTTAAAAAATTTACCGATCACGTATCGATCAGCTCGACGCAAGGTCGAAGATGACCCGTTGTTCCGGGGGGTGGCGGTGGCAGTATTCTTTTTTGGCACAATTTAGGAATTTCGAGGTTACCCTCAATTCCATCGTAATTGATTTCAATCCTATTGCCTTTCGTCCCTGCTACGGCGTATAATGGAGGTTCGCAACCGTGTCTTCTATAATATCCCAACCTCTCTTCTAATGTATATTTCCATTTGGTCAATTTCGGCCTAAACTTGGTTTGTGCAGTTTCGTCTAGGATCTTTTCATAAGTTTTTGACCACCAGGTTTCTGGTGGCTTATATGTCGGATAATTAACTAAAGCGGGGACCCAAGTGACCGTCGCCCTTTTTTCCTCCTCTCGTGCTTCTTTAACTGTTCGTCTCCTTTGACGGATTTGATTTTGAGCAAGTTGTACAAAAGCCATTTCTTCTTCTGCGACTTCCTCTAATATCTCTAAATCCGTATCCTGATCCTCATGTTCAAAGGTTCCTTGCCGTTTGAGGTCGGCCAATATCTTTGCTTTATTGGGAGGTCTCTCCTCACTTTCGATATCCGATGACGCCGTCGAACTATTGTCATCATCATCTTCCATGTTTGAAGATGTTTTCCTCTTCTTTATTCCTAAAACATCCCAACCCTTCTTATCTTCGACCTCTTTCGTAAACTTCCTTTTCGACTTGTTTACCACCATCCTGCATTTTTTTTTATATTCCCTATAAGTGCTTTCTACCATTTCCTCATGTTTTTTCATTTGTCGTTGCCAATTTGAAAATTTCCATTCATTCATCATTTTGTTTCGAAATTTTTCTTTAGCGGCCTTTGCCTCGATCATGTGCCTTTTAGAGTATTCAGGAAATGTGGTGGTATATCTTGGAACAAACGTTTCTGGTGGATGTATAATGGTCATTGATCGTTTCGTCAGAATTGAATCAATGTTTGAACTCGGATCGGGTGGATTAACAGGTCGACATATATTAAAATAACGTGTAGGTTTTTTTTGCGAGAGCAGTAAACCTTGAGCTTCTTGACATGGTAATAATATTTCCAACCCTCTCATTTGTCTAAAGATCGTTTCATGTGGGGCTCTCAATTCTCGGATGATTCCTTTACCCGTTTCATTCTCTTGAGAAACATCATCATCGTTAGGCATCTCGTAAACATGATACTCTGCTGATTCAGAATTCTTCTTTTTATATAAATGTTCTTGTAATTCTTTTTGTATCGTCGCTACTTTTGTAGGGATTCGGGATATTCCCTTAGGAAGTTTCAAAGTTAACCCCTGAAGGTCCGACTTTGAAATAGTTGGAGGAATTTTAAATAACCATAATTCATTTTCCTCCTTGTGAACATTTTTAAAATCAAATGTTGAAGGATCACTTGCTTCTATTTTTTTCCACCCTGGGGGAGGTTCATATTGAGGAAAAGGTCCATTACTAATTTCTTGTTGATTAGTAGAAACCAAACCGGATATATTTAAAGAATATTGTTGACTTTCTACTTCTTGCTCGACTTGAATCTGTGATTCGGAATTCTCATTATTATTATTATTATTATTATTATTATTATTATTATTATTATCAATACTTTGTTCGTCATCACGGATTAAACTAGCCGTATCCGAAGATTGTTGTTTATGTTTATGAGAATTTTTAGAATTCTTCTTTTTACTTTTATATTGGTTGACTTTAACGGTAGAACTCCGTTTAGCAATTTTATTTTTATCATGTTTCAAGCCATCAAGAACCGGAACTGATTTCGAATCCGATTGTAAACTCTTGAAATTTAAATCTTTGCGTGACTTTTTATTCGTCTTGGACTTTTTATTTTTATCACCATTTTTAACGATATCGAGTCGAGTCATGTTCGAAAAAATGAGATGGCATACATGTTATAATCATCAAAAAAAAAATTTTTATTTGATGCATAATTTTAAAATTAACATTTGATTTGATGAACACCCAATAGTTTATCATATTATATTACTATTTTTGTTTAATATTTACCAAACATGTAGTGGGCAAATTAATCATGAAAATGATTATTAATTGTAATTCTTATAAAGTTATTAGAATATTCTTTAATTATTATGATAAAATAATTCTAAAAATAAATAAACTTCTTAATTATCAGAGATGTATATAATTTTTCGTTTTGTTTCTTTTGCATATTTATAGGCAAGGGTAATGTCTTAACTACTTTGTTACTTTTTTTCGGAAAGCTTATTCGTCTAATTATTTTTTAATTATAAATGACACATTTCTTTTGAGCTATTGTTATTATACAATGACATTTTAATCAAATTGACGTTATCTTTAGTAAGATAACGGAATCATTCGTTATACGAAACGTCAATTTACATAATCTTGATATATTTTCATAGAAATTTTACTAATACCGACAATAAATATGATTGCAGATTTACAAAATATAATTATGAGATTTATTAAAATGTAAAGATACTACTTTTTTGAGGAGACCATCGATTTATCTTTTAAAAGATTAGAGAATATATTCTTATCGATGTCATACCTACTAAACTATATATAATACTTTTGAGTAAAAATATATATATCTAATATTTATAATAGATAAATTTTTTAGGTGATATCAAATCACGGTAACCTCAAGTGATATTTGACGTTTAGCGTTAAAATTTACAAATATTATAATATAATATATATATATATATAAAGGGAAGAAAAGTTAAATAGAAAAAAATAAACAAACTAAATTATGTGCAATATTTCCTTAGCTATAATGTAAATAAAAGTTTCTTTATAAAATGTTTTTCACGTACCCCCTCCAAACCCGAATCATTTAGAAGCGTCCGCGGGAAGGTTTACCAGTGTTACGACGTGCACGACGTTCTTCTGTGTTAACGGTTTCGCCTCCAATTTCAACTGTATGCGCGTCAAGAGCGCGTCGATATGATTCGAAATTGGAGAAATCAACGAAAGCACAGGACTATAAACAACATTTATTAATTAATAAATTAGTTACTTATTTAAGCAAAAAAATATAATAGGTTATTGAAAGGTCTCCTCACCTTTGAGTGTACAACGTCAAGATGTTTAACATGGCCAAAGCTCGTGAACGCTGACTTGAGCAGATCATAAGTCATTGAGGATGTGACCCCTTTTACATATATTGAGAGGCTTGTATCTATTTGTTAAAAAGAATATTAAATACAAACTCGGATAGTATAGAAGTTATATTAAACGATACTTACCGCTGTTACGTCGATTATTGTTTTTTAACCCCTCGGAACGTCGATCACGATTGTCTCGCATATGTTGAGACTGAGCTTGTGTACCAGACTTTACGGGAACTGATGCGACCACGCCTTTTGCTTCAGATAATGCAGTATTATTCCACTTTTCTAATCCATTGGCCGCCAAGCTTGCCCAAGTTTTCTTAACCGGTGCTTGCATCTGTGGTGTATGGTTAGAAGATTTTACCCCTTGCTGTTCAGAGTCACTCGAACCGGTAGTGACGACATTCTTCAAAACGTTTTGAGCAGAGCTTTTCTTGACAGCATGTGCACTAATATTCTTGTTTATCGGCTGTTTTGCATTAGCTGGCTGACCCTTATTATTTACAGCAGATGATGATACAGGACAAGCGGTTAAGCCAGAAGGTGATTCTGGTCGAGATATTCGTTTGGTTTCTTGATCATTTTGCTGAGGTCCCGTAGTCGGAACTTTCTGCAATGTGGACGGTGATTTTGGTGATTTTGGCCCGTTTGAAGAAACTTGAACCTTATTATCTGTCGCTGATTGAGGAGAATGACTATCTTTCTGTGACTGTGCATCAATGCTAACTACTGGAGACTGAGCAGATGCCTGCTTTGGAATGTTTGCAGGCTGTTCAGTTCTATTCTGCGTGACATGTGTACCGCTAGTAGTAGTAGATACAATTTGAGTTGATGGAGCTTGACCAACACCTTGTAACGCGTTGGTTGTTGGCGATTGTTCAGACGGTTTCTTTGAAATCGCAGGCTGCGGTCCATTCTTATCCTGCTCAACTGGTAGCACGTTAGAAGTAGTTGCTGCGTCAACCGCTGTCGAGTTTGGAGCTTGAACATTATTTCCTTGTAACGATGCCATTTTTATTAGATGTGATTCGACGTTTGCTGGGGCAGTAACTGGTTCTTGTTTATTCAAGTTCGCAGGTGATTGTGTGTTAGATGAGACAACAGATGCTGATTGAGGCCTGCTTGGATAAGTTTGAATTGATTGCATAAGAGGAGTTGCATGAACTTCTTGAGACACGATACCCGCCAAAGTTGTGACGGGATCTTTCTCGGTTACATTAGCTGGTTGTTGTCCATTATTGTTTTGCACAACGAGCGGTGATGGAGAACTACTCTGAACAGGTTGTGCGATTGTCCCGGATTTTGGAGGTTGTCCGCTTGTATCAGGTGTGATTGATGAGGTAAGTGGTGGTTGAGTGTGCATTCTGCCATCATCAACAACAGGTACGGTAACTTCCATATCAATAGAAGCTGCACGTAAAGGAACAATAACTGGATTTGTTGAAAATGTAACCGGTATATCTAAACCCGTGTCTCTTGGAGTGACCAGAGAAGGTTCTGTAATAGTCGTATTTTGGGTTGAATCAGATGGACTTGCTTGTTCAACCCGGGGCGAAGAAACATCTATCGGTTCATCGACCAATGTTCCAGCGGGCGAAATGGATGTTCCAGCTACCTCTTCCCCATTGTATATTTCAATATCTTCATCCGATTGGAACCGGATGATATCATTCAACACATAATAACCATTTGGCTGCACATCAAGAAAAAAAGTTTGAGCAAATCTTCGTGCAACTTCATTACGGTTACTCATTTCACCTAATACTTGAATTACTATTCCACCGTTGTTAGACGCAAGACTATCAACATTGGTGACGAGAACACGACAATCTTCTAAGTTTAAACCTTGGAATTTTTCTTTTATTTCCTATTTAGATTCATCAAAAAAAAAAAAAAAAGGTTAGAAAATAAAGCTATGAATAATTGAGACTTTTTTTAAAAAAAAAAAAATAAATAAAGGGAAGGTAGAAATCGATAATTTAATAAAACGGAATAAAAAAAAAATTAGTTAAGCTGTAGAAGTATTTAAAGGTGAGGCGGTTTGGATCTATCAATGCAAAACTTTCTGCAAGTATAAATATCTTGAAAACACGATCAAGAAGTTTACAAAGAAATTCTATTCTGATCTCACCTTCTCTCCTTGAGAAAGAGTCACAGTCTCACCTTCTGTTCCATGGATGAGGGATGATTTTTGTCCGTAGAAGCAGTATAGGCGACTTGGGTCTTTGTTTAAGAACGTATAGTATTCATGAACGAAAAGCCAACCCACTTCTGAAGCGTTTATTTTGTGACCGGCAGGAGGCCCATTAATACCAGTTTGTGCGGTCAGTGTGTTAGAAGTTGTAGCATTAATTGTGGTAGAAATTGTTGTAGTGGCCATATTTCTTTAAGCTCGAATTTTTTTAAGAAAGCTTGACCGTTTAATTTTTTTTAAATTAATGATACTTACGATTGGTTAGTTTTTAGTACGGCTAAATATTCACTTGACCTGTTTGGGCAAAATTATAAAATTATGTCAAATTAATTTAGGTGATATTGCGGTTTTAATCAACCAAAATGACATCTCTGATAGTTTTATATATACAGAAAACATCAATTTGTAAAATCCGAATTGCAAAGCTTGTAAATAGCAGTATTCATTTCATATTTAAATTACAAAAGATCGAACCGAAAAAAGTTCATTTATTTATTTTATTTCCTCTACATTTTTTTTTTTATTACTACAAAAAAACGGGATAAGATTAATAAATATTAAATGTGGATGTTGACATTAATAATACAACCATTGGAATCGGCACTTTCCAATAACCCTCGTTTTTTTGTATGGATTGGTACATAATTTCTTGTAAATAGCCATATTTCTTTCGATTTCGATTGTTAATTAATTGCCTTTACCGTTTCCAAGCATTCTTTTGCTTTTAATTTAATTTCAGGGTCTTGAGAAATAAAAAATTTCTTTATTAGTTTAATAAGTTTAAGTAAAATGAATTATTATTCTTCACATTTTCACTAACCCATTCTTTCATCTCGACACTTTCGTTTGAGCAACTCAAATAAATCCAAAAGAGTTTGCTATTATCAAATCAAATCAAATCAAACTTTAGACCGATTTTATTGTGAGAAATGTCAAACAATATATAATTTATACCTTTGTGCCAGTTCCATAACTAGTTAACATCTTTAATGCTTGGTTCAATAACATTAAAGTTCTTATTATCCATTCTTGATTTCTTTTTGAAATATAAGTGAACCTATTTAAAATATATTCGCTCATTGGTTTCTTATTGATCAAAGCAATGACCGAACAAATCGAAATCACTATATTTTCATTGGCTTTGTCCTGAACCCCTTTGCAACGCATATTGTTTATTAAAACTCTAGTATGTTTATTGAATTTTGAAATAAATTCATTTACATGATCTATCGGTGTATCATCTATTATACGTCCAAGCAACTGTAATGTCAAATCAAGATATCTTTGAGTCAAGATGGTAATATCCGGTACATTACACGCATTAATTGGCACAATCACAATTAATTTCACTAAAATTTTATAACAATTATTTATTCCATTATTATTAGGTCGCCATCCTGCCCAATACATCATCAAATCCCTTATTAAAGATCTTGCTTGTTCTGGCCAGGGATTTCCTACATAAATATTTTTGTGAAGTTCCTCAAAGAGTTCTAAATATTTTTCAATTGGAAAGTTTTTATCATTTGGTGAAGATACTGGTGTTATATCTGCCCATTGCAGCAAATCTTTTAGCTTTTTCGATACCAAGTTTTGTTCAAGTGGTCGAGATGATCGAGATGATATTGAAGCACGCTGGGAAATAATATCACTCGTTGTCCTGTAATTAGTGTTTGTCTCATCATCGCTACTTATTAGGTTCACATCGTGTATTTCGACTTCATTACTTTCATCATTTGAATTAGAAACAGATTCATCATGAATACTACTAAATTCTGATTCGATTTCTTCTTCATTACTCGATTCAGGACTTAAGTCGCCTTCAATACTTGTCACCGTTATATTATCTTCATAATCATCATCATCTTCATCACTATCTTCATGATAAATACCATCCAATAACGTTGAAGGTGAAGTAACAAGTTGACGTTCAACACTAACCTTCCGTGATTCATTCTGTGATACATTTTGCTTTCTTGATGTAGATAAACCAACATTTTGACGGGCAATATCTCTTGATACATTTGGTTGATTTGTTGGAGTTGGAGACCTGCCGAAATTTTGACGGTTTGACATCCCTAGAACTTTTTTCCCTCCTTGTGATTCTTGTTCAAAATGCCATTGATCTTCCTGTGATTCCCCTACATCATTTTCAACAAATGATAAGTCTGTTTCGTCTTCGACATAACCACCGTAAGTTTCTATTATACTATTCTCATTCCGAAGAACTTCTTTATCTACTTCAACTGGTACACCTTGATTTCTAGCTTGTATCCTCTCGGCGGTATACGGTCGAAGTTGTTCAAAATTTCTTTTCCTCAGGTTTCTTATAACGGAAGTTGTTACTGGCATTATTCACTCTATATGTTCTCTATACAAGAATTTTTTATTATTAACTGAACACGAAATACTATTTATATTTATTTACATCTGCACTTTCCCTTTATAGTATGGTAAAACGCGTCGCGAAAAATTCAAATGTAGTTAGTGTTTCACGTAACTTGTACGGTATATACAAATAAAGTTAAAAGTTTTATTAATTACCTAATTTATATTTATGTTCCTGTTATAAATAACTTCAAACGCGTCTTTTTTATAAAAAAAAAAAAAAAAAAAACCACTCGCATCTATATCATTATAAAATTTTCTGATTTAAGCCATGGATATTGACGAGCCCCAAGTTAATAAACCCCAAAGGTTTTTATCATAATCATAATTTTAGTGATTCGTACGAATTAAATTATTTAAACCTTTTTAATATCTAGAATCGAAAACGAGGGGGATTCGGTGGAACTTTTACGCGTTTTTTATCAACGACTTTTTCCATTTAAAATTTATTGCTACTGGTTAAATTATGGCATTGGTAGATGTATTATAGAATTATCCTTTTAAAACGATTCATTCTGTTAACCAAAATATCTTATACAGATGTTGGTAAATTGTTCCAAAATCGCGAATTCAATTTTGTTAACAACAATGATGCTTATATACGATACCTATCGTTCGATACCATTGAAGAATTCAAAAATGAAGTTCTAAGAGTGTATCCAAAGAAAATTGATATTGGAGCGGTTTTCTCAGCTAAAGTAATTGATTTTCAATGTTATATGTAACATGCATTCAAAATTAAAGACTAACAAGATAGGATGCGTATTATTCGTTAAATAGCCCAAAGAAAAGAAATCATTGAAACTTTCAGCATTAAAACCTGTTGAGAAAGAATTGCTCTTTGATATTGATATGAACGATTACGACGAATTTCGTACTTGTTGCAGGTAAATTGATTCGAGATTGGTCAACAACCAAAGAATTCAAAAAATTCATATTTGCAATATTCGAATTAATAGTGGCGCTGTCATTTGTGAGAAATGCTGGCAGTTAATAACGGTTGCCATTAAAATATTAGACGCAGCTTTAAGAGGTAATTAATTATTTATAAAATACCTTATGCTTTACAAGACGAATGTCACTATATCTATAATCTAAATTCCGTATTAATATTTATATTCTAAAGAGGACTTTGGTTTTAAGCACTTACTCTGGGTATATTCTGGTCGTCGTGGAGTTCATTGTTGGGTTTGTGATGAACGGGCACGTAATTTGAGTGACGATGAAAGAAAGTCAATAGCTTCATATTTAGGAGTTATTAAGGTTTGAACCTTTGAGTTTATTTATATAAAAACCATTTATACATATCGATTATTCATTTTCATATTTTTTTTTTTTTTTTTATAGGGAGGCGCTCAGAAAAACAAAAAAGTTTATCTACCTAAACATCATCAACTTCATCCTTCATTAAGGTATTTTATAACAAATGTTATTTTTGTTTTAGAATTTTTATTCATTTTTACTATTTTGTAGTCGCGCTTTTAATATCATTGAGGAATATTTTGAGCAGGTTATTTTAAGGGATCAAGAAGTATTGAAAGATGAACAAGAATGGTCAAAAGTTCTAGACTGTATTCCCGACATTGGTGAGTTTAATGTATCTTATAGCAAGATAAAATATCAATTTTGTAACGATATCAATTAATTATATCAAAATACTCTCGTTCAGATGTAAGGCAAAGGTTGAATGACAATTGGAGAAAAAATCCTTGTAGACATTCGATTCAAAAGTGGGACGATCTGATAAATGCATTAGGGGTATAGTTTTGTATGAATCATTCATGTAAAGGCAATGATAATTAATTGATTTAACTTGATTGTTTTGTAATCATTGTAGAATCAAAAGAAAGGCGATATAGTTAAAAAGGAAATTATGTTTCAATACTTATACCCGAGACTTGATGAAGCAGTTTCAACAAAAATGATTCATTTGTTGAAAAGTCCGTTTTGTGTACATCCAAGCACTGGTAAGTTTATCGAAAATAATTGAGATATGTATTTCAAGATAAAAATTATTTATTTATTATGATAGGGCAAGTATGTGTACCGATAATACCAGAAGAATGTGAAAATTTTAATCCTATGAGAGTTCCTACGATCTATTCACTCTATAATGAAATTGATGATTACAATAAAAATAACGTGAATAAAGATAGAGAAAGAAACTTACACGGTAATTATAAACAAATTTTTAGTTTTAAACATCAAATGATAAATTTTTTTTTTTGTTTTATTTTTATAGTTATCGAAAAGACGTCCCTAAAACCATATATTAAGTACTTTGAAAGCTTCGTCCATAATATATTGAATGAAATTAGGGCGAAGAATAAAGGTATTTATAAATAGAGTTAGAATTATTTTTGACATAAAATAGACTAATTTTATATGAATTATTTTTTTTTTAATAATAGTTATGCAAACTTCTATGGAATTTTGAAATGTATTCAGTGAATTGCAATTATGTATTATTATTATACAAACTTTTCAATGATTAAAATCAGCTGGTGTTTATACATTATTAATTTGTGAATTATAATAAAAATACAAATAATAACCAACTTTTTTATTTCAATTATGCTTTTTATGATTTAGTATAATTGAATTTTTTTTTCAAATTAGTTTTCTTTTTTTTTGATAATATAGTAATCATATAATAATTATAATAATTAAAAAATTAATTACTTATAAATTTTAGGTAAATAGTAAAACAAATTATATTAAAGTAATTTTTATAGTAATATTCAAAATTAAAAATATAAAAAACTTAATAATAATTAGAAAAATAATAACTCTTATAATGATAATAATTTAAATAATTAAAATAATAAAATTTAAATAAGTTTAATAAAAATGATAAAATATAAAAGTATTTTATTATATATAATATTATTATAAATAATTAAGTAGATTATATAATAAATTAATTTTTTTAAATTTTTAAGATTTAAATAAAATCATAAATATGTAGTCAAACTATATTAATCATTATATTTGATATTTTAAATTATGTAGAATATAATATAAAAGTATTACATAAAATTTTAAATAACATAAAAGTTAGCTTTAAGTCAACTTTTAAAATATTTCATATATAAATCATATGTAATTATAAATATTAATAATTTAGACTTCAAAGATTTGGGCTAAATTATACTAAATATTATATTTGATATATTAGGTTATGTAAAATATAATATAAATATATCACAATAAAATTATATAGATATATATATTAATTTAATTTAAATTTTAAATAAAAAAGCAATATTTTATTATAAAAAATTATTTTGCATTTTTATTAAAATTTAAATTTTAACTTTTTAAATTTTATTTTAAATATTCAAAAAATATCATTAACAAATATTAATAATTGTAATTTTTACATAAATAATATATGTAAAGAAAGAATTAAAAAAAATTTTAAAATGAAATAAACATTCTAGAAATAAATAAAAATATTGTACCCATTAATATGTTACTTTATCAAATTTATTATACTCAATTAATATTAAATAAAATATCAAAAATTAAAAGTTATCAATATCTAAAGCATAATATTTATAAAACAAATTAACAAATTTATTTAAAATTCTAAAAAGATTAATTGAGTATTAAAATTTAATAAAGATATAATGATTTGTAATATTTGTAAAAAAAAAACTGATAAATATTTAAAATATTTACAACATGAAAAATATTAAGTACCAATAACTAGAAAAAATAATTATAATAATTTATAAAATAAATTAATTGATGATAATAAATATAAAAATATATGTTAACATTTAAAGCATAAAATTTATTTAAGTAAAATAAAATCAAATAAAGAAAAGAATTATATAAATAAAATCTTACTAAAATTTCAAAAAGATTAATTGAATTATTTTGTAATATATGTAGAAAAAGAATTGATAAAGATCTAGAATATTTAGAAATTAAAGAATATAAAGTACTAATTACTAAAAATAATAATATTATATTAAAAGTAGAAAATTAGAAAAAAGAAAATAGTATTGAAGTACTTTTTAGTCATCAATGTCTCTAGACCAAAACTTTATAGAAAACGTTTGGAGGTTAATGAAAATTTATATACAAAAAAAATTTGATTAATTAGAGGGTTAAAGAGGAAACTTACAAAGAATAAAACTAATTATCATCTGTATTTATTACGAATTTGGTAGCTAGCATGAAAAGGTATACAGTCATACTTATAGAATCAGGTAGTGATTATATAATGTATTATTAATATGCAATCCTTATGAATTGCAACAGTTAGACAGGGTGTTCAAGTAGTGATTCTTTTAAGTTTACATAGTAATCTAATAATTATCTCAGTAAGTTAATAGTTCTTTTATATACTGCAAAATATATTCACACCTCAGTTAGTTAAGTTCTATTATATATTAAAAATATATTTAAACCTACAATGAATGTATTATATACTACCTAATGTATTCAATACATTATCAAGTATATTTCCATATGTTAAGTTAAAATTAAATGTGAATTACATTACAAATACAAAGTGTTACAAAATATTTCAAGTAAATTAAATAAAGATTTATTAGTAAATAAATAAACTAAAAGCTAAAAATACTAAACTAAGGAAATACAAAAGAAGAATTAATCATAAATAGAAAAGAGTAGTCTTACTAAAGCTCTGAACAGTTCAGATTAATCTGAAAATTTTTGGTTCGGATCAACTTCAGTTCGGTTTCAGATTACAAAAATTTCAATCCAAAAATTTTGAATTAATCTGAAATTTCAGATCGTTTGAAATGATGAAATTATTGTTCTAAACGAACGATAAAAGGATCGTTCGATTGGAACGATTGAAGTTATCGTTCTAAACGAACAATAAAAAAATCATTCGATTGGAACAATGAAATTATCGTTCTAAACGAACAATAAAAAATTGTTCATTTAGACGATTGAAGTTATTGTTCAATTAGAACGATCAAATTATCATTCTAAAAGAATGATAAAAGAATCGTTTATTTGGAACAATTGAAGTTATCATTCCAAACGAACGATAAAAAAATCGTTCTATTAGAACGATCAAATTATCGTTCTAAAAAAATGATAAAAGAATCGTTCATTTGGAATAATTGAAGTTATCGTTTCAAACAAATGATAAAAAAATCATTCAATTGAAACGATCAAATTATCATTCCAAATGAACGATAAAAGAATCGTTCATTTGGAACGATTGAAATTATCATTCCAAACAAATGATAAAAAAATCATTTGATTGAAACGATTAAATTATTGTTCCAATCGAACGATAAAAAAATCGTTCATTTGAAACAATTGAAGTTATCGTTCCAAACGAACGATAAGAAAATCGTTCATTTAGAATGATTGAAGTTATCGTTCCAAATGAACGATAAGAAAATCGTTCATTTGGAACAATTGAAGTTATCGTTCCAAAAGAATAATAAAAGGATCATTCTAAATGATCCGAAATTTCAGATTAATTCAAAATTTTTGGTTCAGTTCAGATTTTTACCAGTTTACGGTTCAGTTCAGTTTCAGATTGGCATTTTTAGGATTTATAATCTGAACTG